CAGGAAATACAAATATCAACGCCTGCACCTGGAGATTTGACTGCAGCCACGGCTATAAGGATTAGCCTGAGCACCGCGTTTGCAGTTGTAGTAAGATGCGCCACGTCGGGAACAAGGAACATTGTTCTTCCTCATCGCACCGTAGCTAACGTACTTCTTCGACGCTAAAATGCGCCTACTGATCTCGGAATCCAACTCGAACTCTTCTTCTTCGGCTATACATTCGGAGATTGACCCTTTGCAGCTAGAGGACAAACCGGTTCGGACCACGAACCCTAACGCGTCTCCGTAGCCGCCGGCTTCGACGGTTGCGATGACGATAATTAGAATCGTGACAAGGGCGTAGATCATACGAGAATTCACCATTGTCCTTTACAAATGAAACCTTCTGAATAAATCAGAGGGTTTCAGCTTCTTCTATCTTCTTTGCACTTCTTCTAGCTGAAAACGTTATGGCCTATAGCGCCTCTCCTCTTATAACTAAAGGAAATTATTTAGAACGGTACGTTATCTTTTTTGGTTTTATTTACGGAAATACCACCGGTTTTGTTTGCACACATACGCGTATAATTTTATCTTTTTTCAATATTATACTTTTTAAAAATATACGATAACATGCTAAAATCCTGTATATCACTATTCACTAGGTGCTAAAAATGTAACAAATAAAACCGGTGATTTTTCATTTTCATTTTTGATTTTTTTCCAGAAATAAAGAACTCCAAACGGCCGACAAATGTATAATGGCAGATCGGTAATTAAGTAGTGGGACCATGGCCCATGGGCATTGTAATGGTGCAATTCGATTTTAAAATATATATATTTTTTTTTTTGGGTTATCTAACCCAATTTCCCTTTCTTTTTTAAGTATTATAATAATAATTGTGGATATACATTAATCATTACACCCGAAATTAACAAGTCTTAAATATTAATCAGAGAGCTAGTAACAGTGGGCTTTGTCTTTTCGTTGTATAAATATATACATTTGAGAGATTAACGTCCATAATTGACGTTGTTAATGAAGAAGAAGCGGCGCATAACGTGCGGTCTGCATGCGCGTTAGCTACGTGCCCAAATGAATCTCCACTTAACTACTAAGTATATAATTGAATGTTGGGCTTCAAATAAGATTCTTGATGCAATCTATTAGAATGTTCACGAACATATGATCAAACATTTATGATTGACTAATCATTAAAAATGCGATGTTTGCATCACTTTTCTATACGTTCTAAGAAATCATGTGTGTTTACACCTTATATCAATTAAATTGAAAAGGGAGTGTTACAATGATTGGTAATTCCAGATGTCGATATTTCTTAGATCATATTCATCACGTCCAGCCATTAGAGACGAACAACATTAATCGCTGGGTTTTCTAACCATATAGCAGTTCACATTCTTTAATACTATAGTATTTACTTTGTGTATAAATGTTTTAAATAATTGGAATCTCACTTAGAAACATCATATTTGTTTTGTTTGGTTAGGTGAGGGCATCCACACCACACAGTTTGTATATCTTATTGGCTAAACAAGAGTTCAAGCGGTTGTTATGGTGTGGTTCGTCCATATGCCATTTGATTTGATATATACTTTTAGATTTTGACCATAAAGTAGGATCAAATCAAACAGATCCGATAACGCAAAGCTCTTTTTTCTTCTTGGTCATGAAAAACGGTTAAAGACACAGGTGATAAGGGTAACAATAAGACTACCTAAGATATGGACAATCTTGTTTTTTCACCTTTATAAAAAGTGGGAGAAGGGAACAAACTTTTCTGCCTTTTTATTTTTGTCAAAGGAAAAAACTTTTGAAATATGCACAACAATATGATGAATAATATTTACTTAAACATAAGGGAGTCATGCATTTATATTTTCTGTATATGAAGAAAGAATGAATTATCCTTCTTGGCTACACAAATACCAAGAAAAAGAGGTAAAATGCAAAACTTTTAGAAGCAAATTTATCAAACCACTTGGCTATCAGAAGATGAATTTCTTGGTTTGTCTTAGGTAGATACAAAAATCTACTATATAAAAGAGCAATAGCTCTCTCCAGCCTTTGACACATCAGCGTAGCAGAAGATATCACAAGATGCCACGTGTCCAGTTTTTTTTTTTTTTGTGGTGTCGATCTGCATACTCCCGTTTCATCGTCTTCATTTTCTGAAAATCTGGAAAGGAAACAGTTACGTCAAAAACGCAGTAAGTCTATTAAAGACCGATTAAAATAAAACCTCTTCTCTAAGCGAATTTCCAGAAACCCATACGCCGAACCCTTCAACGAAGATGCATCCCTTCTTCTTGAGGAGCCGATCAGGATTGCTTCGATCCTTGACATGGCCGATCAGGCTATTCTTACTGTCGTTGTTGTTTTCAAATTCACGATCGGTAAATCATTTATCTTAAAATCTTCCTTTTTCCACAATTTGGGTGTTGATTGTGATCTTAAAATCTATTTATTGTGATCCTCATGATTTCGACTCCCAATCCCGTCGTCTTCTACGTCGAAGGTAAATATTTGGGGATTTTGTTTTAGTTTTGAGCAGTTGATTTGGGTCGAAGTTAACTTTTCAATTCGTTTTAGCTCTGTTCAAATATGGTTTCTTTACTATGAAATTCAAAGATCAGATTTTGGTTTCACTTTGTTTCTTATAAGCGAAGTATCCTTAAGAGGTTCTAAGTTTCTCTCTAAAAGTCTCAATCTTTGGAATCATATGTTCTTTGATATCTTTATGTCTAATATTTTTTAGTGTTGGATAAGTCTTTATTGGTTGTTCTTTCTAATCATCTGTTTGAATATGATTCTGAGTGGTGTATTAGGGCATGAGGCTTTAATGATTTCAATGAATAATATAAGAAGTCTTTTGTGTTTGTTGTTATCGTCACCATCAGAAAGTTGGTGACTTTAATGGAGAAGCTGCGAAATCTGCAAAGAGGAAGAGGAAAATCAGTATCCAGGGATTAGGCAACGTCTTTGGGGTAATGGGCTGCTGAGATTCGTGATCCGAGGGAAGGGACAAGAATCTGGTTTCGAAATTTCAACTGCAGTATGTCCTCCATTTTCTTCTTTGCAGTCTGGTTAAATATTTGATTTGTGTTTCCTCAGTGGTCTTTCCATCGTCATTGATGGAGTCTCGTATGGTTCGTTCATCTTTTGCAGTGGTATCTTCTTTACACTCTCTTCATGGCTTGATTAGTATAGAAGTGATTATTCCTTGTTTCTTTTTGTGAAGAGGGGAGGAAGCAGAAAGGTTGTTCTACTAGGTACAATTCTGCTGGTAACAATCGAGGAGTGTAACAAATGGTCAGTTATTATACCTTTGGAGACAGCATTATGGGATTATTTTTAGTCAAGTTAGGCTCTGGGTTTTGATGTTGTTAATCCATTGTAATTTCTGTATAGTGGGTGTTTTATGTACGCGCTGAACGTTCAATCAAACAAACAATACTCCAACAAGAAACCACTATAACGTCTTTTGCAGGTCACTGGTATGTTTCCGTTGCTGGAACTGATTTTGAGTAGTTTTTTTTTTTTATCAGGTTCTTGCGCCATAGATCAAATTTCTCTTTGAAATTAGCTCTGTTTTTTTTTCCCACAATAATATTGATTGAAGGGATTTTTGTTACCACTTTATCTGATTAGTTTGAAACTTTCCAAATGAATCTTGCAGGCAAAGGCATTAGGATAATTGTCTATGATTTTTGCCCTGGAACCAAGCAGGTGACACTTGTACTTTTTCCCATCTTATGCTGCCTTCCGCAATCCCCTTGAACCTATATACTCTTATATAGTTGTATTTGCAAACTCTTGCAGAGACGTCCTGTAATTGATGCACTATTGAAATGTAGCAAGCCATACAGAGTATGGGATATTTATGCTTTTACATGTGTGATTTCTAAATTCGGTAACACACACCGAAAGGAAAGATTGCTTAACGAAGATTTTCAACTTCTCGGAAAAAATTCATCGGAATCTTCAATGACTATGATTGAAGACGGCTCGTTCGCACTGTCTAATGACCTTTGGCAGATAACTGACTTGAACTCCAGTTATAACTTATGTGAGACCTATTCATTTGTTTTGATGGTTACAAAATCCATTAAGTAGGCTACTGAATCCTTCTACAGGAATGAACAAAAGTTTGGTTTGGTCTCGGCCATATTTTGAGGGCTTCTTTGTTCATGTCTGAAAACTACACAAAAAGATTCTGACGTTTTGATATATTTTTCCCATTCTACAGTGACTTTGATGAGAAAACTTGTTGCCTCATTCCGCGCTCAGTTAGCCGGTCATAAGGGAGCTGTCGATGTTTCCCATTTGGTTAAAGTTAAAATTTGTATACACTGATCTTTTTTGCCGTCTCTTAGTACCATGAATATAACGTCACTCGTAACTTATTAACATTTTTGTTTCCCACAACCAACTGTACGATTCACATTATCACATACCATAAACAAATTTTGGTTATATGTTCCAAAAAATGGACATTTTAAAAAAATATCATTTTCGGAATCAACCAAAATGGAAATAATACGAGATAAAACAAAACTAGTATACAATTTTTAACTTCACAAATACTCTATTTTTAAAGTCTTTTGGGCGAAGTGTAAACGGAAGTACATGTTTAGCTATGGAATATTATTTTTATTATTAACGTATGAATTTTATTCATCAATAGAAGACAAAATAAAACCAAAATTTGTAAAACACAACTCAAAACAACATGAAACATAGTATCAAGATCATAATGAAAAAGGTTTATATTCATCATAATCAAAAGGTTTTAATCAATTTTCAAAGTAAAATGGTTTTAAATATAATGAAATTTTCAAATTTAGAACCAAAAGTATACCTACATTGTTTTGTTAAACATATTAAAAGTAGGACAAAACCATGTTGGAAATCAAGTTATAATAGGATACATAAACATTGGTATATATATATTTACCGCGATAAAAAGTGAATAAATAAAGTAAAATATTTATTCCGCGCATCCTATTACCAATATTTTAGGTAAAAAATCAAAATCACAAAGCAAAATAAATTTACGATAAAACCCACGCGTATGCGCGGGTACTCACATAGTAAATAAATAAAGATTCTAATAATTTTACTGTCACCCATCTTTACCTTGAGTGTGTTCTTTTTTATTTTATGTTTTGGAAGTTTATCCAGCTTTCGTATTTTTATTTAAACATATATATGGACAGAAGGAGATTTATATTAGCAGATATCAAATTCTAAATATTGATGTTTCAAAAATTAGTATATACTCCAAACTTTTGTAGGAGTTTCAAGAATTGATATGCTTGTAGTCAAGATGAAAGTTAGTATAGTTAGAGAGATTTGAGGGCACTATCATGTGCTTCAAACATCTAAATGTGTTTCTGATGAGCATAAAAGGTTTTCTCGTTACTAACTTGCTATTTGTTGCACATTAATGAGATTGCTGTTACACTAAAGGGTTTCAAACAAGCTTTTGAAGAAAATGTTGATATGTGTGCTAGGTACCATGCTCATCCAACTATGTCACATGTTCATGATGAGGTATGATTATCTCTTTTCTTCTTGTTGTTTGGTTGAACTGTGTTCTGGATACCTGTTGATGTAATTGACTAGTGTTTTGGAAAACTTGTTGGTTTTTGGTTGCTATATGTTTTAAAGAACTATAGCATGTTTTTTTGTGTGGTTTGGAGCACTATAGCATGTTTTTTGGGTTGATGTGGTTTACTTATTAGATGGTTTGTATGCTCAACTTTCGCACTTGGGCTCAAGTGATTCGGTGTTTGTCCTCGTTTACTGTCGGAACCTGAGAGTGGGTGTAGTCTCTTTGTGGAATACTTTAACATGTTCTACTAAACCTTTCCATCTCCCATTCAACGAGTGAAGAGTTGTGCCTTAGAAGAAGCTTGTGCTTCCAGGTGTTATGAGATCGTGGATGACATACTGCTTCCCGAGCTCATGACTTTAAATGATTCACATATACACAACAAACAAGGGCCAAAATGTGCAATAATTTTTCAAGAACCATCCCTACTTCTTTATTAGCTTTAATAATACAAATAGCCCAATAGCTAGGAGGAGCCGAAAGTTTGTGAATATATATATCAACTGCTATATGATTAGGTAAACTTATTCGCCATAGAAGGAGCCGCTTTTCGTCAGCTTGGGTTTCTTAGCTTTGTTCGATTTGCTTTTGCGGAAGATCCTTCAAGGTTTGTGTAGTTTTCTCAAGCGAGCGAGGTTTGCGGTGAGTTTGTTCGAGTTTTAGTTGTGGTTTTACATGTTTTACTCTGAATAAAGATCCCCATAGGTTTGTTTGTTGGCCAATTCTGTCTCCCTTTCGCAGTGTGGTTGTTTTGGATATGTATTATATCGTAATTTCCTAATCGTGTATTCCACCCGTATTCTAGCTGTGTATCTCACCTGTATTCTACCCGTGTATTTCATTCGTTTATTCCATTATGGTATTCCACCATGTTTAATATAATATTTCAGATGACAAAAAATATATATATCAACTGCTAAACCCAAAAGTTCTGACAAACAAAAAAAACCCAAAAATTGTTCATGAATTTTAATTTGCGACAAAACGAGCAAAAATCATGTTGTATATGAAATGGTTATTTGGCCAAAAAAAAAGAATATGAAATGGTAAAATTAGGGGTGGGCGTAAGT